CGGCCGATGCATGGGCAGGTGTAGCGGCCCAACAGTCCTACGTGGCAGCGCTTGTAGGACAGGCCCTTCCCACTGACCTGCACGATGCCCAGTGCACCCTCATCCGCAGGAGGGCGCGCCGAGCCCTAGCTGACACGCTTGCAGTTGATCCGTGGGTCGCGGAGCGACCCTCGCAGGCCAAAGGCCCGCGCCTCACCAAGCTGCAGTTCGCCATGCAATCGAGCCAGCACGCCTTTGAGCTCAGAGCGGGCAGGTACCTGTGCTCCCGTTGCGGGCTCACCACAGACAAGTGTGAAGTACGCCAGGCCTGTGCCACGCCGTGCACCCACCATCCGCCCCTGCCGACAGCCAGTGACCAGATAGTGCTAGTACAGGGCGCTATCACCATTTCTGGGCGCGAGCTGCACGCCAGCCATAAGCTCCATTTCATGCAGAAGTGCCGCCTGTACTTCTGCCGCGGGTGCGGCAAGACGGCAACCGAGGACCCACGCCACCTTGCCGCACCCTGCACGGGAATCACCAAGAAAGGGCGAGAGAACCTCGCCAAAATAGACAAAGGAGAATACACGCGCGCCCACGCTGGGCGCGATGGCCTCGGCCTCACCAAGTTTTTGCGCGCAGCTACCCACGGCATGGCCGTGGAAGAAATTTCAGCTGCCTCTGCGCCTGCCGCTGCAAGCGCCGCTCATAGTCAGGGCTAGAATGCACTTGGCATCGCCCGAACAACGCACCTGGGTGCGCTCGGTCTGTTCCTCTGTTCCCTCCCCCCCCTCGTCGTCCTCCTCCCTTCTCCTCATCCTTCTGGCATCATGGCCGTGCTGAGGGCGCGAGAACGATGACGGCAACCCGAAGTCGAAGCGCACTCCGCAGAAGGCCTACCTCCTGGCCCTCCAGGAACGTCTCTACCACGACCCGATGCCTACCACTATCCGCCGGCGTCTTATGGCATGGTATCCCGTGCTCGACCCTCATCGCCGCCTCAATGGACAACGTGATCCTGCTCGGCGGCTCGCTGAAGATGCTTCAGAGCGTCTGTTTCGCCGTGCTGGCGCATGAGTTGCCAGATGGATACCCGACGTGCTGATGAACAACCGCGACATCAACATCGAGGACGACGACTGGACGCGCTGGTGGATTGAGTATCTTCGCTCAGTTCTCAATCGTAGTGACTTCCGCCTGCTGTGCCAACATCCGCTTCAACGACGTCAGATAGCACGTGACACGTGCACACCAGCGTGGAGAGACGGATCCTTTGGTTTCCGTTGGCTAGAACTCCGCCTCTTCGGAGATGCTGGTGTTGGCATTGAAGAACATCGTGAACAGCAAGCCCTACGTGCAGAAGAACAGCACAGCATCGTGGCCGACGTCGTTGGGTCGAAGCTCACAGAGATCGCCGGCCGCCACAGCATCACCCGCATGACATCGGAATGGTGGACACCGGCTTCGACGAACCCTTTCCGACGAGTCTCCTGAGCGTTGGACTCGTCTTCGTTACGTAGTACCTCGCCGCTCTCTCCCATTTGCTCGGGTGTGGGCCGCGCGGGTGAATGGACGACATCCATGAGAATGCGCGTTGTCCAGTGCAAGCGCAGCTGCCATCTAAGCTGCAACGCGGACGACGACATCAAGCACTACATGATCTGCCCGAGGCTCTGGCGCCAGGTCAGCCTCCCGCGCGGCCAGCTGAGCGCGGAACTCTTTGTCAGAGTGGGGTTCCCTCTGTCCTCCGTTGGGTTCAGGGGCGAAAGCGTCATCCCCGGCGCGGGTGGCCCCACGTCTGGACCCCTTCACGGAGCAATGTCTAAAAACGGTTTGGAAAATCAATTTGGGGGGACAGTCAACAAAAATAGTTATTCCCAACGCTGTAGTGCGCAGGTAGAAAACAGAAGGAAAGCGGGGCAAACAGTACCGCCGGGGACGTCCCCGCGACCGCCCAGAAGCTCCGCGTCGAACATAAAGCCATTCAACCTCACAAAAACAACGGGCGACACGTGTTGCCCCGAAATGATAAAAAAAAACAATTGTAAATAAATTTGGGATTAGCCAGCATGAGGCCAGTCAGCTTCACAAAAACAGGTGATACGTGTCACCCCCGAAACCGCGTGAGAAAAAACAATTGCAAATTTGGGGTTCTGGGACCCAACATAAGGCCATTCAGCCTCACCAAAACAATGGGTCACACGTGTCACCCCCGAAACCGTGTGAGAGAAACCAATTGTAAATTTGGGATTCTGGGAGCTCACATTACGCGATTCAGCCTCGCACCGCGCGCGAGAACTGGACGCCACCGCGCGCACGCGCGAGCAGTCGCGCGCGTACGTACGTACAGTGTCACAGTAATACGAAAACTACCTACTCGTCGACTGAAGTAGCCTGCACATCTGCACGCATACAGTTCGTGCGCATATACTAATGCATACGCGTGTGTGCGTGTGTGTGTGTGCACAAATATGTATGCAAACATACATACACGTGTGCATTTATCAATCGCATCGTTCAGTAACCGTTTTTTTTTTTTTTTTTTTTTTTTTTTTTTTTTTTTTTTTTTTTTTTTTTTTTTTTTTTTTTTTTTTTTTTTTTTTTTTACTTTCAGGGGGAACAGTTAAGAAAATAAGTATGGCGAGTTAATGGCAGTCGGGATCCGGGTGGGGTGGGGGATCGTCATTTTCTAAGAGGTTTTGGACATTACGGGTTGGCCCCGTTCAGTTGTCACAAGCAGTGCGAGGCCGTTGCTGCCTGCCGCCAGACACGCACGGAGGCTCTCGCCCGACCTGGAGGGCAGCGTGCGCGTGCGGCCGCGGCGCGGCTGAGCAGATGAACCTGGCCGGCAGGTCATGTTCGCGGCTCCTCCTCCTCGTCGTCCTCCTCCTCCTCCTCCTCCTCCCCCTCCTCCTCCCTAATTCCTTTTTCGTATACATAATTTCTCCCTGCCGCACCCCGAGGCCAGTTTATGGGGCGGGCGGGGCGTTTCGCCTGAGACTTTCCCACCATTTATGGCTGCGAAGAGTCAAAATTGGCAACCGTCTCACAAATGGAGGGCGGGTCGTTTTCAAAATGTGTATCTCGCCTTAGCGCGGCGCACATTCTTTTTAAACACTTGCAATCGTTTCACATATTGAGGGCGGTTGGTTTTCAACATGTGGCTTTTGCTTGAGCGGGGCGCACATTCGCTTTAAACATTTGCAAGAGCTTTGCATATTGAGGGCGGGCGGTCTTCAACATGTGGCTTTCGCTTTAGCGCGGCGCACATTCGTTTTACACACACACACTTGCAAGAGTTTTGCGGATGGAGGGCGGGTCGTTTTCACAATGTGGTTCTCGCCGTAGCGTGGCGCACATTCGCATTAAACTTTTGCAAGAACTTCACGGATTGAGGGCGGGTGGTTTTCAACATGTCGCTCTCGATTAGCGCGGCGCACATGTGTTCTAGCAATTTGCAAGAGTTTCACGGCTTCCCATCATCAGCGTGTCAGACATTGTGTTTTGAAAGGATTCAGGGTTATGCGGGCGCAACAGTCATGTTGATTCGCTGTGTTGAAGTCTCAGGAATGGCGTTCTGGCACGATCCAGGGTTGTCAAGACGCAACAGTCAGGTTGATCCGTGGCGTTGGAATACCGAGAACAATGTTTTGGCATGCTTCGGGGTCTTCAAACGGTTGTCTTCCAAAGAGCAGTTCCTTCAATGGGAATGAACCGTTGTAGGGGCCTATGAAGAGGGAACTTGGAAGGGGGGTTTTATTATTCCAACATCGTTGATGACTCTTCCTCCTCCTCCTCCTCCCTCTCCTCGCTTCTCCCTCCTTCCTTTCGTTTCTCGCCGATCTCGCCGGCTGGCCGGCGAAGCCGGCGGCGCCAGCCTCGTGACGGCGAGGGGAGCGGCGTCGGTGTCTGCCCTGGGGTGGGGCGCCGTCTCCTGTCATCGTGCCGCCCAGGCAGGGTCAACGGTCACCCTCGCGTTAAAACGCAGACAAGGATGAGGATGAGGAGGAGGAGGAGGAGGCGGAAGAGGAGGAGGAGGAGGAGGAGGAGGAGGAGGAGGAGGAGGAGGAGGAGGAGGAGCAAGAGAAGGAGGAGGAGGAGGAAGAGAAGGAGGAGCAGGAGGAGGAGGAGGAGGAGGAGGAGGAGGAGGCCGCCCAGACAGGGTCGACGGTCACCCTCGTGTTAACATGTAGACAAGCCTTGGGATCCTCATTGAGCCTGATTGGGCGTCTGGAGTCTTCTGGAGTCGGGGCGCAAGAGACGGGTGTCAGTGCAAACGGGGGTCAGCCAGGGCGCCAGATCTTGCAGGATCCTGCTGGGCAAGGGCTGCATTGACCCGGCCTTGGGTGCAGGATCCCGCAGGATCTTGCAGGATCTTGCAGGATCCTGCAAGCCCGACTGACCCGGGTGTGGATTGACCCGGGTCAGTAGGTCCCCGATGAAGGTCTCCGTCATGGCCAGTTTGCCGCCCAGAGATTCTGGGGACCTCTGGGCTCATCCGGGAATGACCCTGCGCCTCATGGGGGCCCCCGGAGACCCAGGGTAGCTCCACAGACCTTTGGGGACTTTTCAGAACTTTCAGAGACAGGACGCCCGAGCGGGTCCAGGGTAGACGGGGTCGTCGGTCAGAGTGACTTCCGAATGTCTTCGAGAGATCGCCGCGCGCCTTCGAACAACATCTTAGGATCCTTGCCAGCGTCTGGCGGCCTTCGCGGGATGGGCGGAAGGATGAGCGACCAGGGATAAGGAGGTGGGCTTCAGATGACGCGAGGAGTGCCTCGGCCTCGACGAGTTACACTCAAGAGTGTCAGAGTTCAGGATGAAGGAATAATCAGTCTTGGGTTCTTGAGTCCGAAATCGGGCCGGCCTTCCTCCCCAAAGTCTCGCTCAAAGCCGCGAAGGGCATGCTCGCACTCCGACTCTCCCAGCATTCGATGTGGGAACGGCCTGTCATGATGACGGCCTCGCAGCAGGGGCCATGCCTTCAGAGAGGGCGACTGGCAGAGGGGCGCGGGGGGCAGGTGACCCTGCCTGGGAGTGCAGCTGCCAGCACGGAGGCGCCGTCGGGAAGCCCACCGGCGGCGGGCCTTGGGAGGCGGGTGGCGTGACACAGGTCCGCGGTGCTGTTGGAGAATCGGTCGATCGCCCCGCTTGTGTGGCCAGTACGAGGCGCTAAGAGGCTAACATCCTGGGCGCCCTCTTTGGCCACGTTTCTTAGTGGGCTCCTTGGGCCCGGCGCGCCTTCTTTCCTCTTGGCTTGTGCGCCTCTCGTGGGAGTGCGCTGGCGTCGCGGACGCGCAATTTGCCCTGTTGGTGACAGTTTTCGTTTTCCTCCCCCAGGTAACGCCAACGACCGCACTGTGGGGTGGGGTGGGCCTGGCCCGCCCCCCCCCTTAACATGCCCTGGTTCACACAGGCGGTTGACGCGCCCGTGGCGCGGGCGCACCCTGGCGGGTGCACGCCACGGCCGCTGTTACCGTTACCCCCCCGCTCGATCCCTGCCCAGGTAACGACCGTTGGAAGAAAGATTGCTTTCAGTTGCTCGTATCGTAGAAAATCTAGACGACGCGGGTGGGCCCAGCGGAGCGGCTACGCCGCTGTCGCCCCGTCGTACATTTTTTTTCCGGGGGGGGGGGCTGGTTTAGGCTCCAACACGGGAGTTCCGAAGAGTAAATCATGCCGTCTTATGTTCTTGTTGTCGATCAGCCTTTTTCTAGTCTTGTCGCGTTATGGGCAAGGCCACTACGCATTAGATGAGGTAAGAGCCAGCTCTAGTCTAGACTTGTTTGATTACCGCCCCATCTACCAAGTATTGCCCCACCCAGCGAACACCGCCCCACCTACGAAACAGCACCACCACCTTAAGTTGCCGTGGACATCTACTGCCGCGTTAGTGCTTAGGTTCACGCGTGGAAACATGTGGGCGTTCCCCGAAGCATCGGTCAACTTCCGCCATCATGGGCATGCTGTTATCGACGTTTTGAGGGAACTCACCGATTTCGACCAGGTCTGGGACCCCCGAGGTTGCCGTGATCGGTCTTTAAGTTTTGGGTTCCCCCCCCTGTTTCTCTCGGCGGGGAACAAACTCGACCCTCCTCCTGCTCCTCCTCATCCTCCTCATCCAGCTCCCCCCCTCCTTCTGCTCCTCCTCCTCCTCCTCCTCCTCCTGATCCTTCTCCTCCTCCTCCTCCTCCTCCTTGTCCGTCTCCTGCTCCTCCTCGTGGTCTTTATCGTGGTGGTCGTCGTCGTCGTCGTCACGTCGGACATTATTTTCCCTCTATTGTTTTGCCGGCTGGATCATGTTTGGTTGCTTGTTCTCCCAGGGAATAACCATGTTGGGGAACCCTATACGCGAGAGGATGTGTTAGCATTGTCTCATGAGGATTGCAATCTGAATCAGTGGTTATGGTTGTAGTCGTGATTGTAGTCGTGGTTGTAATCGCGATTATACTCGTGATTGTAGTCGCGATTGTAGTCGTAATCTCAGCCCTGGTTGTAGTCGCAATCGTAGTCGTAATCGTAATCGTAATCGTCGTCGTCGTCGCGGTGGAAATGTTTTTCCCTCCACCTGTTGGGCAGGTTAATGTTTGGTGGTTCTTTCTCCCAGGGAATAATCCAGTGTGGGCTGCCCTACATGCGAGAGCAAGTGTGAGCATCTTCTCATGAAGGTTGCAATCGGAATCAGTGGTTGTGGTTGTGGTTGTGGTTGTAGGCGTGATTGAAGTCGTGGTTGTAATCGCGATTTTGATCGTGATTGTAGTCGTGATAACAGTCGTAATCGTGGTTGTAGTCGCAGTTGTAGTCGTCGTCATTGTTGGGCGCTGGGTGCCGCGGAGAAATGATTCTTGAATCGCTTTGCTCATTCCGTCGGCCCATAGGGAATTATGTATTCTTGCCTATGGGGGCTCTCTCAGGAGGCTTCTTGGTGGCCGCAGAACGCGTCGCGGGCCGTCTGGAAGCGTTTTGCCTATGGGGACTCTTTCGTGAGGCCTCTTGGTGGCCTCTTGGAGACTCTGAAACGCGTCGGGTCGTTGGCACTTGCTTGCGTGCTCGGGGGGGCATTTGGGGGGCCGCTTGGGGGCCGCTTGGGGGCCTCCTGAGGGCCTGTTGGGGACCACTTGGGGCCTCTTAGGGGCCTTTTGGGGTAATTAGGGACTCCAGGGGGCTTCTTAGGGCCGAGGGCTCGAAATGTTGTTTCGTGTTCCCCCCCTGGGACCTATCTTGGGGCGTTCTTGGGGCCTTCTTCGGCCGTCTTGGAGGCCTCTTGGGCCGTCTTGGGTCTTGGAGCCCTCTTGGGCCGTCTTGGAGCCCTCTTGGGGCCTCTTGGGCCCTCTTGGGGCGGTCTTGGGGGCCTCTTGGGCCGTCTTGGGGTGTCGGGCAGCCGAAAGGGTGAAAACACCCAAATCTTTCCAAAAGCTAAAGGAAAGCAATGAATGTTGCCTGTTGGGGCCCTCTTGAGAGTTCTGGGGGCCATCTTGGGCGTCTTGGAACGATCTTGTGGCATCTCGGAGCTCTCTTGTATCATCTTGCGTGGCTCTTGGCGGCCTCTTGGCCTTTCTTGGGGCTCTCTGGACGGCCTCGAGGGCGGCGCCCAGGAGGAAAACCATCTCTGATCCGAGTCTCCCGGGACCTGCCCAGGGTACTTTTCATCCGGGGACCCCAGGGGCCGCCCCGCGCGCGCGATGTAGAATCATGGCTGGGCCGGCGAATTTTTTCCTCCATCGGTGCACAGAGTGGTGGTCGTCATCTGAGGGGGCATTCGTTTCGCAAGATTGAGGCTAACCTGGTGGTGGTGGTCGTCATCTGAGAGGTGTCGTCATTTGAGTGGTGGTCGTCATCTGCAGGAATATCTTCTTTGTCGAGGCTGAGGCCCTCACGCCATGCCCTGAAGGGCACGGGCCGGCTCCCCAGTGGAGTACGCACGGCTCCGGCGTTCCTTCCTTCCTTCCTTCCTTCCTTCCTTCCTTCCTTCCTTCCTTCCTTCTTTCTGGTCCGTCAATAAGGGCGCCAAAATGATAATTCGTTTATGAGATGGGTATGGGGGGGTCTAAAGACCCATCTCGGTTTCCTTCAAACGCTCCGGTTCTTCGCTCTTGACTCTGCGAACAACGACTACGTCGATGATGTATTCAAGACGCTTCGCGTTCACCGCCCGCCCATTCTAGTTCTCGCTGGCAGAGACGCAGACGACGCCAAGACTGGGTGACAGCATTTTGGAAATAATGAAAGACTCCTCCACGTGTGTGCCTTGTATTTTCTCCTGCGCTCCATTTTTCTTCCATTCCATTGCAGATTGGGCTCAGGTGTGTCGTGTGGCTGATCGATGTTGAATTCGTCGACTAGTCGTCGGCCCGTCATCATTACCAACAGATCAGTAGTATGAACGCTGGCTCTCTGGAGCCCGCGTGCCTTATTATCAACAGCAGGAGGCCATACATATCTGGAACGCTGCCCGAGACCAGCCATAGACGGCCCGAAGGCGGCCCAAAAGATGCCCACGATGGTCGAAGAGGGCTCTGAGAATGGCCCCAAAAGGGTGCCTAGAAAGGCACGAGGCGGCTCCAGGGAGCTTCGGCCCTCGTTAGAGCACTTCCGCGTTGGGCCGCAACCCCGTCCGAATGCCATCAAAAAACGGGCCGGTTCGGAGCCGAATTTGGCTTCGTTTGGGGCCCCGAGTGTGGCCTCATCGTCTAAAATTGACCCCAGTGCGCGTCCAAAAACGTAGTCGAAGTTTGAATTTGGAGAAATACCCCAGGCGAGCCCGAAAGTTGGCTGTTAGACACAACCGGGCGACCCCCGACGAGGCTAAAATCACCAACGACCTATGGTTTGGGCTGTATTTTGAAGGTTCGAGTTTGTAGGCGAAGTTGGGCCCAAGAGGCGCTCTTGAGGGTCCCAGGAGCAAATTTTGGAGGCCAGTGAGGGACTCAAGAGGGGTGGGAATGGAGCCACCTTGCGCCCTCAGAGCGTAGTGGGAAGGGTCTGCACTTTGCGACGTCAGGCTTCGTTCCTTCGCTCGTTCCGCTTTCGTTTCGGCCCGAGCGCTGGCTCCGGCAACCCCCCTCCCCCCCCGCCCGGTGCGCGCCCTCGCCAGGCGGACACCGCCAGGAGCCATGCGCGTCGCCGCGCGCATCTGCTCCCGCGCACCTGCGGGCTGCCAGAGGGCCCCGGGGCGCGCGCCCTGCCGGTGGGCCTCGGCGCTGGCAACGGGCAGGCGGCCTGCGCTGGCGCCGCGGGCCGTCGGCGTGGCGCGGCCGCAGCCCGGGAGCTTCGTGGGCGCCGGTGCCCCCGGGGGTGCCCCTCGTTTTTTCTCCTCGGTTGAGATCAAGACGCCCGACTTTGGAGCCGAGAGCATCACGGAGGGCACGCTCATGGAGTGGCAGAAGCAGGTGGGCGACTTCTGCGCCAAGGGGGAGGTCCTGGCCGTGATCGAGACGGACAAGGTCAGCGTCGAGGTCAAGGCGGAGGAGAACGGCACGCTCGCGGAGATCAGGGCGCCGCCGGACTCCACCGTCGAGGTCGGCCAAGTGCTGGCGACCATGGCCCCGGGCGGCGAGGCTCCCGCGAAGGGCGCTGCGCCCGCGCCTGCGCCCGCAGCGGCCGCGCCCGCAGCGGCCGCGCCGGCGCCCGCGCCCGCAGCTCCGAAGGGCGCCGCCCCGAAGCCAGCGGCCGCCACGCCGTCGCCCGCGCCGGCCGCTTCGTCCGTTGCTGCGGCCGAAGGGCGCCCGGAGCGCCGGGTCAAGATGAACCGCATGAGGCAGGCTATCTCGAAGAGCAGAAGGCGGCGCAGGCACACAGTCAGAGTTCAGTGATCATGCCCACTCTGATTTCGGAACGGGCTCGTTATTTCTCGGGTCGTTGCCTTCAGCTTCCTCTGGTGCTCCTCTTCGTGAATCTAGGCGTACCCGAGGCCCCAAGTCGGCCTCGTTCCTTATCCGAGGTTCCTTTTGGCAACTCTTTGACGGTAAACTCTCGCAGGTCTGCGCGGATCTTTTGGGTCGGCGCTGGGCCCCCCTTCCCGCCACCCTTCCAGGCGCTTCCGGCGCGCCGGGGAGGGTCAGCGCAGACACAAGGAGTCCGCGAGGACCTCCGAAAATTTGCGTGCATGCCGTCCTCTGTTCCTCTACCATCGCGCGACGCCTGAAGGACGCCCAGAACACCACTGCGATGCTCACCACGTTCCAGGAGGTCGACATGACCGAGATCATGAAGCTTCGAAAGGAGTACAAGGACATGTTCGAGCAGACGCATGGAGCCAAGCTGGGCTTTATGTCGGCATTCCTCAAGGCGAGCGCTTTCGCCCTTAAGCAAATCCCGGCGATCAATGCCGTCATCGACGATGTCTCGAATGAGGTTGTCTACCGTGACTACATCGACGTGAGCGTCGCCGTTGCAAGCCCGAGGGGCTTGGTGGTGCCCATAGTGCGTGACGTGCAGAATATGTCGATCTTCAAGATAGAAGCTGGCATCGCAGAGCTCGCCCGCAAGGCGAAGAACGAGGAGTTGACCATGGATGATATGACCGGGGGCACCTTCACTATCAGCAACGGCGGTATCTTCGGCAGCATGATGGGCACTCCCATTATCAACCCTCCGCAGAGCGCCATCCTTGGAATGCACGCCACCAAGCTGCGCCCAGTGGTTCTGAAGAGCGGCGAGATCGCGGCACGACCTGTTATGTACCTTGCCCTGACCTACGACCACCGGCTCGTCGACGGGCGGGAGGCGGTTACTTTCTTGTGTGCCGTAAGGGACCAGATCGAGGACCCCCGCCGGCTCCTCTTGGAGTGCTGAGCTAAGCCCAAACTTTTTACACGAGGACTGATCGATCGTGCCCAGAGGCGCAGAGTAAGGACGATGGCGGTGGACGTGTCGGAAGGTGGGCTGGACGGTGTCCACTGCCCGTGCAAACCCTGATGTGATATACCCAGTGGCTGGCTGCCGCAAGTCCTGTGGTTCTACCTGTTAGCCTGGGCCCCAGGGCAAGAGATTGTGCCCGCTTGCAGTGTGCCATCACCTTCGACATGGAGATGGTGGCAGTGTGCGTGTGTTGCCCGTAGGCGCCCTCGTTGTATCTCCTCTCCTCCCTCCCTGGTCTCGGAGGTTCTCCTGGGCCCCCTGGAGGCTTCCGAAAGCTCGGAAAAGGTCCACAAACATCCGAAAGCCTCGGCCCTCGATTCTCCCCACCCCTCCTTCGAGGAGGGGTCCTCGTCTTTCTCCTCGCGCCCCTCTTCCTCTCCCCTGGTTTCCAGGCGGCCACGCTGCTCCAGAGGACCAGCACGTTCAGAACAGTGTGAAGCCGCGAACCGCGCCGTGACCTCGCCCTGGAGAGCGGGGGAGTGCCCAGGCCTGGCTCGAGCGTCGCGCGCCTGCGAGGCCTCCTGCCGCGACCCTCGCCCACTCCTCTCGGACATCCAGCGCTTCGATGATTTCGGTGCGTGGGCCCTCCCTAGGCTTGTTTTTTCATCCCGACTGCCCCGAGAACAGAGGCGGGCCTCCTGATGCCCAAACTTGCGATCCACGGGCTGGCTTGATTTCGTCGAAGCATTGGATGTCAGATTTTTGAGCCATCATTTGCATGCTCCTCCTCATCCTCCTCCAGGCTGGTTCCACCATCATGCAGTCGTCATCGCGTGCAGGCTCCTCCCCCTCCCCTCCTTTCCCCTCCCCTCCCTCCCTTCCTTCTGTCCTCCTCCCTCCTCCCTCCTCTCTCCTCCCTCCTTCCTCTTTTCTCCCCCCCTGACTTCTCCCCCTTCCCCCTGCCCTCCCCCATTCCCCCTCCCCCTGCTTCTTACCCTCGAAGAGGACGAGAAGGATGCAGGAGGAGGAGGAGGAGGAAGAGGAGGAGGAGGAGGAGGAGGAGGAGGTTGACAGGTTGGTAGAAGTGAAAAGGCTGTCAGGCGTTGCGTCCAAACAGGGCCACGATCCCGAACCTGCCGTATCCGACGAAGAGGTGGTATTGAGGGGAAGAGTTATCGAGGAGGCGAAGTAGGAGGAGGAGGAGGAGGAGGAGGAGGAGGAGGAGGAAGAGGAGCAGGAGGAGGAGGAGGAGGAGGACGAAGTAGATGAGGAGGAGGAGAAGGAACTTGAGGAGGAGGAGGAGGAGAAGGACGAGGAGGAGAAGCATGAGGAGAAGGAGGTGGTATTCTCTTCTCTTCTCTTTTTTCTTTTTCCCCTCACTCATTATCCAGACTGTGCTTGCACCTAGGGGTTCTTACTCGTGTTCTAAAGAGCTGGGCCTGAAGGTCGGTCTGGCGGCTATGTAGTCGCAGTCGCCGCCTCGTCCCCGTCCGTCGTCTGGGCCTGTCTGTCGGTGTGGCGGCTATGTTGTTACCGTCGCCGCCCCGTCGCCGCCTCGTCGCCGCCCCTACCTGGACCTGTCTGTCGATCTGGCGGCTATGTCGCCGCCGTCGCCGCCCCGTCGCCGCCTCGCACGCATTGCTACACACATTCTCTTTTCTACAGGGCTCTAACCGAACATTCGGATCCACCTTCCCCCTAGACTTCGCGCATCACCTTTTGTCGCATTGCAATTTACATCTGATTCTGCCCCACCGTCCATCCTAATCATGAGTTCATCGCATCCCAGCAAACCAGCATCGACCCCCCTTCATCCTCTGCAAAGAACACTATGCGCGCACGCTGGTTTATCAAAAACCAA